CCAAAATCCTCCTTATGCTTTATGGCAGGCAGAAATCTGCAAGAGGTTAGCTAGAGAGAATACAGTATGATGGCTGAGAGGAGCAAAAGCAACTCAGACTGTGAGCGTTATGGTGTCTTGACCAGGGAGGCTTCTGACAGAATGAGCTGTTGCAGAGAGCCCTAACCCCAACCTCATCACTTGTGCTGGGACTTGTGAACGTGTTTTACTGCGATACTTGAATATCTGGAAGGGGTTAGAAAATTAATTAAAGCTAATATCAGTAGAATTCTCATAAACTCCTATGCACTTCTCTGTTTTGATTTCCTTCCTGTTGGATTGTTTTTTCAATTCCAGCAGAAAAGCACTTAGTCTCAGCTGGAACATATGTACATTTCGTGCATTGTTTGGGATGGGTACCTGTGTTAGCATTGAGTGATGCAGGGCTTTTCCTCTTCATGCTTTTCCTCTTCATGCATGTTCAGGGTGTTGCACTGCCTTGGCAGTACTGTCAGGTTCTCTGGCCTGGAATGAATGACTGCGGCTGAAGTCCTGAGCTTTGATCCCTCCTGCAGTAATGCAATGAGCAGCCACCAGACCACCAAGCTAGGCAATTCAGTTCTTTCTGAATGTACGTTGACACATGCTTCCTGCTTTGGGTTAGGGAAGTAACCTAAGATTTGCCTTTTACTAGGCATACATTGTTTTAAGAACCACCCGACATACTTCCAAATGCTTTTTCCATTAGTCAGAATTGATTCCTAAAGTGCTTTTCTCACAGTTGACCCAGATTTGTTTTCCTTTGGGAGCTACATGCAGCAGCAAGTTGAATTCTCTAAAATGAGTTTGAATGGGAGGAGACTTTGTTCCTTATGCTGGGGGGAATTTTGAGGGGCAGATTTTAATGATGAAGGAAAAGGAAAACATATTTGCTTTTTACAAATCAGGACCTTAATTTCTGTTCCAGTGTGTGGGAATACAGTGTGTACATTTTTCCACTGGTCAATGCACTGTGGATTTATTTTTTCTTTTATCATATTAGAAAAGCATTTCCCATGTATCATTAAAGGGCTCTTAGGTTCCTGGGTGTCTTATAAATGCCAGTTTATAATTTCGTTTCATTGACACTTCCTTCCACAAAAGGCTTTTAGCTGTAGCTTTTGATTACCACTGAAGGCGGTACAAGTTATCTCTGCCCAGGTCTCCCTAAAATCTGTAACTTTATGAAGCTTTTTTTTGTTTTCTAATTTATCCTGTTTGATGCTGTCGTTTTCTTTGCATGATTTCACATCATGCTCAGGCCTTGTGATTACATAATGTAATTTTTATCAAAATGATTTGGTGCTAGAGGAGAGGCTCAGAGTAGAGGAAATCATTAACACGCACAGAACTTGAGCCCCAAAATGGGTTTAAGTAGAAGCTTATTTCAAAGAGCTACCACCTGTCTCTCATTTTGGCTTTGCATTAGCTCTAAAAATACGTAGTCGTTTAAAAGTGTGACGTAAATATATTCATATCATGCTAGAATAGCAAAACTACGAAACAACAGTAGCTGGACTTGTGCTTAAAAGTAACACGTTCTGGCTGAGGGACGTTGCTTTTGAGACACAAGCTGCTGAAACTATGTAGAGTACACTAAATGATTCCATCTGATCTCCAGAAAACACTATGAGTTGTATTTTCACTTATAAATATGTCACTGCTAAAGCCAACTGGCTGCAGTAAGCTTTTTCAGGACGTTTCTGGCTGAGTTTTTGGAAGACTGCATTTCTTAAAGTGAAACATAAAAACTGTATTCACTAGCTACACATTAAAAACAAATGGCCAAAGGAAATAAGTTGCCCTATAAAAAGCTGGGAAATAAGAGTTCATACACAATTTAATTTTCTTTAATTATGCTTTACATGTAATAGATCAAATAAGTGGGGCTTGATTCACTAGTGCAAGCTAACTTCAAAATCTGGAAGTTAGTGAGTAGGAACAACTCATGTGATGAGCAAAGCGGCAGGTATATTAAGAAGTGATGCTGTGCTCTTGCGGCAAAAAGAGTGATTACTGATTCAGTCTGAGGTGCCTTCTATCTGTTTCTTTAGACAATATGGTTCAGTACTGCAGTGTGCTTGCTGATCACTGGAGTGCTCAAAAGAACTTGTCATATTATGTAATGTCTCATTCAATCACAGCACTACTGTTAAAACAGGAGATATTTTAGTAGCAATATTTGTGTGTGATTAGGGATTGTAAATGTTGAATGCTTCCATGTCTGATACGCTCCATTGAACAGCGATCTGCCTAGTCTTTGTTGGAATGTCAGTGTGTTTGTGGAATCCTTTTTTGTTGCCCTCTGCATCCTTTGCCCGATTGAACTCATCTGGGCTTGCTTTTCTAAGCCCATCCCTGAATGATTATACAGTATCTCTATATTCCTCCTAGCTCACCTGCCTCTGCTTCTGCCTCTTTTACACTTTGTTTTTATGTCAGTGTAGTCCAGAAATCCTGGTTTATTCTCCTAAGTGTCTTGCTGCTTGCCTTTGTATATTTTAAGAGGAAATGTACTAGTTATGCACATTTAAGTGGTGTCTATTTGTATACTCTAGAATGTTTCTAATTTTATAACCAGTAAAGTCTAAGATGGAATAGAAATCCTAGAGCCTACCCGGTGCAGAAAATCCTAGGAAAATCATAGCACAGGAAATACTTTTGGAGATCTATGTCAAACCCATAATTCTCTCAAAAAGTATTGCATTTAGCCATGGGAAACATTTCTTCATTGACTTTTGCTGTTAACAGAGGTAAAGAGTTATGTATGACTTTAATCTGAACATGGAAGAGGAAACATTTAAAATGTTTCAAGTTTTCAGTGTAGTGATACTACTTCAGAATGTTGTAGGTTAAACTTGTGAGATTTAAATCATCAGATTGAATTTCCCAGTGACAAGTGGTCACTGGTTTAATGAGCTGCTATACAAATGATATATTTAAATTTTCTCACTAGCAGTAGCAGAAAAAAACCCCAAAGATATATTGGTTTAACTTCAGTATCATGCAGAATCTCAGTCTGCCTACTTCTGAACAGTACTTTAATGATTTCCATGTTGAATTGCTTTTCTGCAACATGTTAGTTGATTAGTATGGATTCTGACATTTTTCAGTTTAGGAACTTGAGTTTTTGTGGTTTGATAAGGTTGAATAAAATAATTTTTCATATTTTAATGTATTTATTTTTCCATTGGAAATGCTATTACTACCTTGCAAAGCAAAATTTTAAATGTTAGACGTTGTTAGTTAAAGTTTTCCCTAAAAATGTATATACTTTAGAAGGTGAGAAAACCAACAAACGTCTGCTAAATAAGAATGACTTTTGACATTTTCAGAAAAGATCTAGGTAGAACATAAAGGAAGAAACAGGTGTTACACTGTTGAAATTTTTTTTCAGTTTTATCTATATAATCAGTGGTGTGAAGGATTGAAATATATTAGGGGGCCAGTTAGCTCAGTCAGTTGAGCGTGGCGCTAACAACGCGTAGGTCACTATGATATTAATTCTTTCATGGGAGACCGAAAGATTCAACTTTGCCTCTTCCAAATGAACAACTTGAATTGCACTTTCAAATGTCCTTCCTATCAAATGGTTGATATTGGTGACAGGGTTTATAGAACATGCAGTGAGTTATATACAGAATCTGTAAAGAAGGATAGTAGAACCTGATTCCTAGAAAATGGGAAAATCTGAAAAAGGGATGAGGAAGGGCGAGTGCAAAGGACCCAGCTGCTTTACCTTCCTTTCCCCCAGCCCCATTCTTTTACCAGAAGCTGAATTTCTATTGTATGTTTTAATCACAAGAACAAGCAACGTACTGCTGACCTGTTATGCTACTATTTATTTTCAAGTATTTAAAGTTTTTATGAAGAATCACAATGGAGATGAACAGTATTCCACATTTGAACAGAACTTCACATTTGTTGTTTTTTGAGATATTATCTTTATTTAGTTGATTTTTGTTTTACTTCACCTTCCTATGTTAGAGAACAGCTCTTAAAGGATTGAGGATGAAGCTTACTGAACAGACAATTTGCTTGGGTCGTCCATGCATATAGAATAATTCTGCAGACACAACAAGAGTATTATAATGGAGGCGAATAAACATTTGGAATTTACAAGTTGTTTTTGCAAGATAGAGGCTTATCTCTGAATTCAGGGGATTACTTCTGTTAACTTCAGAAGGTGTTGCTCTTATTGGTGTAGCTCTCTTTGAAAGCAAAATGTTGTTTCTTTGAATTGTTACCCTTTCGTATGGATTGCAAACTGCGTAATTAGCTTCTGATCTCAGAAGTTTTCCAAGTGAAACTTTGAATTCGATTAGTGTACTTGAGGCATGAGAAGTCATGTCTTAAGTCATGTCTTGAGGCTGAGGAATAATAGATGAGGCTTGAAGTAATTTAATCCAAGCTGAACGTTTTTAGTTTAGTCTTGTTGGTAACACAGAGTAGGCCTGTTTAGGTTTTTAAAGGCTGAAAATGTGAATCTGAAGTGTGGAAAACATTACCATTGTATTGTTTTCACAACAATACATATTTGTAGGACTTTCTATTAGGTTCCTTAAGTAGACTTGAAAGAGTAAATAGATTATTTTTAAACTACAGACTGTGAGTTACAGAGGTGTTTAAGAACTGGAATAATTTGGGGTTTTGGGATTATTGAAACCTTTCTTTAAGCTGAAATTTCAATAGTTATAGCTTCAGGAATTTTTGTTTGAAATGAAATATCTAACTCTTTTTAGCTCTTAATATATTCTGAATATTCTGCAAAAAACCTAGTTTGTTTATTTTAGTAAGTAAGCTTTTATTGAGGTTGGAATATTTAGTGTTTTTTCTATTATGCTTGTGTAAAGTAAAATGAATCTTATTTTTGTTAGGATTACTTATGAGTACAATTTTAATATACTAGCAATTTTAGGATTAAAACTATGTAAGTAACATTGCTTTGTTTCCTTTATATTTCTCTCTTTTGCTTTCCGTAGGACGAGATTTGATATGCATACAGTCCATGGATGGGATGCTCATGTTGTTTGAACAGGAAAGCTATGCTTTTGGCCGTTTTTTACCTGGTTTTCTTCTGCCTGGTCCCTTGACTTACAGCTCTCGGACAGATTCTTTCATTACAGTGTCTTCTTGTCGACAAGTTGAGAGTTACAAGTATGTGTTCGTGTTCAGTAATTAAAGCATATTTTGGTGCTATCATTTAGTATGTAAACAAATCTAAAGTAATCATGTCTAATTTTTATTGCATTTGCCAATGTTGTATCACAAAACAGGTGATAGGTAGTTGCAAGAAAGAAAAGAAATTATGGAAACATAGAATCATAGAACCGTTTTGTCTGGAAGAGACTTTCAAGATCATTGCCTCCAATCGTTTCCTAGTCCTATCAACACCACTAAACGATGTCCTTCATGTCCTTCAAGGCAACATCTACCCTTCTCTTAAACACCTCCAGGGATGGTGACTCAACCACCTCCCTGGGCAGACTGTTCCAATGCCAAATAAAGTATTGTATGTTGTTGAGTGATTACTGTCTCTGTACAGTCATAGAAGAAAGCATACTGTGTATCCCTAGGACTTTATGGTCCTTTCTTATTTGTATAAATGTATTAAGGTTACTAGCTTATCAAGACACATGATGTTGTCCTGCAAGTGCCATTTTTTTCCTGCAGTTCAGTCTAATCTTTGCTTTTAGTGTTGTCTGCAATATACTGATTGAGCAAGATGTTCCTTCCAGTTGTTTAAACATGAATTTTACTTTGATGCAAATAGCATTAGTCTGAATCTGTTCAGTTTTCAGAAGGTATTGGAGACAGGACTTTGACTTCTATGGTCATAGCAACTTCTCAAAGGAATGTGAGTTGCTCTGGGGAGAGATTGAATCTACCTGACAAAGTGGCAGAGGAGGCTTGTTAACCTCCTTGACTGCTAGACTGAGGGATACGTGCTAAATCCAGCATGTAAATGATGATGTGTATAAGGGTCAAGTGGACCAAGGGGGACGTTTTCATAGTAGCTTGCAGGAAGTGGGATGAGTGGGAATCCATATTAATTGTGTATTTACAAAACCCTCCAGTCTTGGCAACAAAGAGGAGGAATTAGACGTTGTATGTGCAGTTAGCGATGTGACAGAGTAGTTTGCATGACTAAGGTCCTGTAATTGATGACTCCAGGCTCTTCAGGAAGAAAAGACAGACAAGGTGGGATTTGTGTTACCACAGAGGAACAGCTTCAATATTTGGAGCTCTCATGGAACCACCATGTAGAGAATTTATGAAGCATCTGTCTGTTTAGAATCGGATGCTTGAGGAAGGGGTCATTGTGGTGGATGTCTGCTATGAAGCCATTTTTAAACAAGGAGTTTGCTAATTGTTCTCATGGTAGAACTAATGTCTGCTGGGAGGACAGCATAATTGACTTAAGCAGTGTGGAAGGTTTCTGAGGTACATTAGGGAAAAGTTGAAGCAAGTACTTGACAGCCTGGCTAGGGAAGATGCTTTGCTGAATCTTTAACTTGGAGAAGTAATAGTTAGCGTGTGCCATTGAGATGCTGGCTGCAGTTAGCATGTGCGGTTGAGATGCTGGCTGCACTGACTGTGAAATAATAAGGATTAAGATCCTGAGAGAAGTGAGGAAGATAAGTGGTGGAATGAAGAGTGTAGTTTTCAAGAGAACAAATGTGAGATTGCCCAAGAACTGGTAGGCAGGATCTGTGAGAGGTTGCCCTGAAGGGCAAAGGAGGTCAGGAGAACTGGTGAGTCTTCATGGATAACCTTCTCAAAGACCAAGAACATTTCGATGTGCAAGAAAATAAGAAGTAGCAGAAGACAGCTTGACTGGACAGATAGCTCCTGACTGAGTTCTGGCTGAAAAAAGGAAATGTGTGAGATAGAAGTTCATATGGACTAGTAAGGAGGAATATCATCGTGTGGGCATGCAGGGGATGAGATTGAGAAGATATAAGCTTGGTTAAAACTTCTACTAGCAGAGGGTCTGAAGAACAAGGACTTCCGCAGATAACTTGTGTACAAAGGTTGATACAGGGAATTTACCCACTACTGAACAGACTGAGCAACTTGAACAAAGGTGTGAAAAGACTAAGGAACTTAATGGTTGTTTTACCTCAGATTTTTCCATTAAAACTGACAAGGTCTGCTCTTAAGCTTTTTGAATCTCTGCCTGGCAGAAAATTGGGGTGAGGTGGTGTTTGGGGCAGAGCTACTATCCATGACTGAAAAAGCAGAACTTAAAAATGAATGAAAAGTGACAGGGCTGTCAGGCGTGTGGAGCAGTAATTGTCCACAGTTCTAACTAGCAGCTAAAGATGGGTGATGTTCCTCAAGAGCTGATAGCGGAGCCAGTATTTCTTTAATTTCTTTCCTGGGCAATAGGTCTGAATGCACGTCCTGAAATTTGAGGATGGTGCCAAATTGTAGGGTAGGATTACTGTTCACAGGAATCTCATCAAGCTGGAGGAATGGTCTGACAAGTACCTTAAGGATTTTTTCAGAGGTAGTCGTATTAAAGAAAATAAGAAAGCCACTTTTTCTAGGTTACGCCTTGGGAATCTAATCCAGGCAATGTTTATCTAACACAATGCTTTGTCACAATGCTTGGTCTGTCATCTGAATTTCTCAAGCAATACTCTTTATTATGCTGCTTAAGCTCGATCAGTTGTTTTTTAGATTCTCGATATTGCGTGAGTAGATTATAGATATTACATATTGTTTTCTCAATACAGGAGAATATATATGTGCTGCAAGTAAAAGTAATTTATTATAAAATTCATATTTTTCCTGAGAAATAAATTAGAATAGAAAGTAATAAAAAATCCCACGAACTGACAAATCTTCCATCATTTGCTAGTATGGCAGTTTACTGTTATCTCTTGAATTAGAACCACTCGGTTTACAAAATGGATGTGCTTGAGGGTGTAACTATTAGATATAGCAGATTGTACTTTGGAGTAGTTTAGGAGTTTTTTAAAAAGCTGAAGAGCAAAAAAGATTTTTTTTATTAGAATCCTGTTTTCACAAATTGAAAATGCTTCTGCTTCTGTCTGTGGTCTAAATTTCTGTCCTCTAATATATTCAGCAGTTGAATTTATTTTAACACCAGATAAAATATGAATAGAAATGTTTGTCTTAATTTCTGGCTTTGCACTTAGCTGTTATCCTACAGTGTTATTTTTCTTAACATCTTTGCTGATGATGGATGTGGTGCAGCAGGCTTTCTAACAATCCTTTTAGACTATGTTTTTACTGTGTGTATATATACACTCACAACATAATTATATTTTATTTTTTTATTTAATGTAAGAGTATTAACTACAAAGACATATTTTATTTTTTTTACTTTTTAAAACTTTCTATAACAGATACCAAGTGCTGGCGTTTGCAACAGATGCTGATGAAAGACAAGAAACAGAGCAGCAAAAACATAGTTCTGGAAAAAGACTTGCGGTAAAACCTATTTATTTTATATTCGCTAAGTAACGAATGGAAACATTGTCTGCTGACAAAAGACTTGATCCAATTGCCATTAAAGGCAATGGAAAGACTCCAGTAGATTTCTATTAAAATTTCTTTGGGCCTTGGTTGTTAAAGTTGGGCCTTGAAACTCACTGTTGTTCTAAGGAGGAAAAAAAAAAGAGAAAAAGAAAGAACTGTGTACTGGAAGTAACTATTTCTAGGGCAGTCTTTGTAATACAGAACTTAAACTATAGTAAAATATGTACACCTGAAGCATTGCTAATGTTTTTTATTAAAGTCTACTTGTCACTTTGTATTGGACTTAGAAAATTAATCTCATTCTGCTTGGGGAATCCTTTGTACTTGGAGAAAATTCAGCAGTGAAAAATGTTTCTGTAAATAGCAGTATCCTGGTCCCTTTTTGTCAAAATCCTATGGATTCAGTGGTCTCCAGGAGGTCCCTGTGAATAAGTTGTTTAATATTTGAGCTGCTTCCTGTTAAAAGGAAGAGAATTTAATTCTCTGTGGTCCTGCAGTAGAATTTGTATGCTAAATACACTGTGTAAAATGCTAGATTCAGTGTATTTCAGGTATGACAGTAAAATACTGAGAGAACATCTTCCTTCCAGTGGCTAATTGTAGAATTTTTTTCAAACTGTCAGTCAGAATCTGTCAGTTTGAATCCTATGTCTTGAGTTAGAAGGCATAATTTTTAAATAAGAAAGTTGGAAGCTTCATCAGATATGCTGCAAGTTAAATACTTTTTTAAAATCTGAAATGAGAAGCATATGTGGAGACAAATGTAATAAGCCTGACTTTTTTCCCTTTGATTTGTAAGATGGCACTTCCAGATTCATATATCAGATATGCCAGTATGTTCGCTATCATACTCTATGTTCTTTAAGCAAAATGATGGATGCTGTTTGTATAGGAAGTGCTGATAGTTGAACTTCAATATTTTTTTACTTCAGAAATTGTGAACTTGTGTTTAACAAGCTTGGCAGCAGTCAAAAGCAATTTTTGCATAGTTGAAAGTTATCAGAGGAGCTGAAATGTATCAATAAGCAGTACTATTGTTTAAAGATGTAAGGCAAGGCACGATTTGGAAGTAGTTGGACAAGTAGGCAAGCTAAGCTGTGCATAAACATCCTTCAGACTCAAGGGTGCACGTTAGTGACTGCAAGCAAGAAAATTGGCTTACACACCTAAAACTTTGTCTGTTTTTCCATTTACATGAATTGGTAGAGTAAGTGATCACCTTTTGCTCTCTAACTTTGCCCTTAATATCTAAGGCCATGTACAGAGGCAGATTTAAATGATTCTAGTACTCTGTTCTTGGATTTAATAGTTAAAGAATAAAACATTTTCATTTTCAGAGGGATATGTATTTTAAAATTTAAATATAATGAAGTGAACTGTGTAGACATCAATTCATAACTATTTCAAAAAGTAGATGTTTTTGCTGCTTTACTCACAATAAGGAAAGTTACCAACTACCTTCAAAACAAGAGGATAACTTCAAAAAAAGGCCTTGGTTTTGCTTTTCTGTCTGTGTTAATGATACTCATATAACTTGATGGGTCCTGAGCCTTCTAAGTTTTGTCTTTAATATGCAGTTGTCAGCTGATGTCTGGATCGTGTGTTTTTCTTTTGAAGGTGGATTGGGTTTTAAACATTGGAGAGCAAGCACTGGATATATGCGTTGTCTCCTTTAATCAGGCAGTTTCTTCTGTTTTTGTGCTTGGTGAAAGAAACTTCTTTTGCCTTAAGGACAATGGGCAAATTCGATTCATGAAAAAGCTTGATTACAGTCCGAGTTGCTTCATTCCTTACTGTTCAGGTTTGTAAGAAGAAAATTCAACTTTAACTTGGTTAATTTTGTAGCTAAGATTTTACTTTTTTTCTGAATAAATATATTTTTCTGAATAAGCTGTTTATTTGTAGAAAATCTGTGGAATCAGAGCTATCTTTTTGAAGGAAGCAGGTTTATTTTCAAATGTTACTTAATGAAAAGTGTCATAATTTTAAAAATCTAAATAGATATTATCTCATCACCAAATTGAAGAACTTTTCTAGTGTTAGAGTAAGTTAGCCCAGGCTACCAAAGCAACAACATGGAAGAATGAGAGATTTTGGAAGCATAAACTAATGTTTGAGGACCTGCTGTCATATATCGATAGTTTTAAAAAAATTAAAATCATAATATTTTAGGTGATGAAATTAACTTATAACATTGCGTGGAAGCAGCTTGGTTGGATACCACCACGGAAGTACAGATTTTAATACCTATTCTATATGTTTCAAAAACTATCCAATAAATTTTTGATACCATATCTTATTTTAGAATTACAAAATAATTTTAGACTTTATAAAGATGTTCTTAACAATCTTCACTTTTTATACTTTCTGATTTACATTATTCTACAAATAAACCTAGAGTCAGTATTGCATGAACCTATAATCAGTATCCACAAATCAGTGAAATAATGAAGAGTAGCTGATATTGAGCAAATGTGTATTTTGTCATATCTATCCTGGCATGCCAACATGGCAATTATGAGTCTTTGTTATGTTTTAAATTACCAAACGTGGCTGGTGAGAACCTTGCAAAGTTGTGGCATGTGTTGTGTGGTATGCAATTGAAGTTGGTACTCATAATTAATCACATATGTCCTTGGTTATTGTCAAAATAACCTTAATAAATTTTGACACTTTAATTATATTAAATTCATTTATAGCAAGTCATGCCTTAAAAGGAAAAGTAGTGTAATGCTATAGGCCTCAAAGAAGAGTACTGGCTTTTGAAAAATCTTTCATCTTAAACCTGTTTTCTTATCTTTAACAGTGAAAGAAGGAACAATAAACACTCTAATTGGGAACCATAGTAAAACGTTGAATGTTTATCAAGATGTTACACTGAAATGGGCCACTCAACTTCCCCACATTCCTGTATCAGTGAAAGTAGCGAATTTACAGTAAGTAACTTGTTAAAGTTTACTTTTCACAACTGGGAAATTAATCTGAAAAATTTGCTTCAAGATCCTATCAAACTGCTCCGAGGTATGTAACAAAAAGGTGACCCGTAAAAGGAAAGTTCAAAGTTTTTTTCTTTGTTTTGTAAAACGTTTGTTTCATTAATGGGCATACTGTTAATTTTAGAAGAGTACTAGAATTGCTGTACTCTGCTTTAGATTTTCTGTTTGTCTTTAGCGAAAGTAGAACCTGGGGTCTCACATACAGTGGAGTAGTGTCTTCTTTAAAAGAATGAAAAGTGAAGCTTTGCAATCTGGTAAGATGCTTCCTTAAGACAGGAAAGTAAGGAATCTCACTGAAAATCTGTTCTTCATTAAGCATTTGAGAGCATATGAATTCCAGAGATGATTTGTTGGACCAGATTATTAAACTCCAATGTTAAACTGTAGAAATTGAGGAACTATTTAAATTGCTAAGGATTGCACTGCAACAGACCAAAACTTTTGGCAAAATACACATAAGGTCAGGTAAAAAGTGGTTGGGTTGGGGGATGCAGTGTAGAGAAATCATGACATATTGATAACTTCTGTGGAGCCTGTCACTGAAATAAGCAAACAACAGAAAAGTTCTGTTGGTGTTTTTATAATCCAGTTTATGCCTGTACTGTGTGCCACCAGTACTGTGGCGGGTGCTGGCTGCCCAGTACCTGTGACCATATGGGATGCAGCAGGAGTGTCCTTGTCAGGCAGATGTACTTCTGATCGCCAGCAGGCTTGTGGCAGCTGTGCCAATGTATGCCGGATTGTTGCAGAATTGATCAAAAATTGTGCATTCTATCTTGTAACAAATGAACATGTGACATCTGACTGACTAGCTTTACTGACTTGTGCGAAGTAATCTGAGGGATGTTTGTGTTTTGCTACTAATGGTTACCTAATGATTTTTTAGTAATTTATAATTTAAAATTTTTTTATACTTTCTGGAGAGAGTTGTGCTGGCTTTCATCCAACAGGTCTTACAAGTGAAATGTAATGAATAATCTCAGTGGGCCCGTTAGTATAAACTGGAAGTTACTTATGCAGGATATGGCAGTACAGCTTTTCAAGTTTGGCAAAAAATATTTGTGTTGGAAAAAATTTGAATAAGACATTGATTTTTGCAATAGCAGATTGCATTTTGTACACACAGCTATTTGTTTGGAAACTCATATAACTGAACCGTCTGTTTCAGTAACGCCCCTAAGAAGTTTATGCAGATTCTGCCTTCTTCCATGTGAACTTTAGCACTCAGTAGTTTGAGCTTTGAGAATTTTGAGACACTACTACTTTTTTCCAGATCGTTTTGCTAGTTAGATTCAGAATTCCCACAGGCCTGATAATGCTAGGGTTTGGTTAGGGGTTTATTCTGTAGAGGATGGAGAGATGGCAATCTAGTTATACAAATTTCTTTATACAGGTACTGATAAATGAAGGAAGCCTGTGTGTGTAGACCTAATGGCCTGAAAAGCAGGAAAAAGTCTGGGATATACGTGTTTCACAGCTATGCTTCTGTCTCTTTAAAAGTATGCAGTATGCTTTTACTTCTTTCTGACATTAAAAATAAAGATGAGTTAAACAGCAAAACTGTAGTAAAGCTTTTAGAGGTAGTAATTTGCCTTAAACAAAATGTAGCTTCTTTATTTTTTAAAGAATTTGAAAGGGAATTCTGTGTGAATCAGTGCAATAACGATTTTCTAATATTCCACTCAAGAGAGGCCTCAGTCTCAGGTGAGTCTCTGGGCACTACTGTAACATAAATAATATTAAATACTTCAATAAGCATATAGTTTTTAATCCCATGCTGCTGAGAGATTGAAGTGTCTTAAATATAACGTGTGTCAATTAGTTACTTTCACATCCTTTCCACATCTATTGTAATAATACTTACAAAGTAAATGGAGCGTTCTGAAAGCAGTTGTCTCTACAGCTCATATATGTTCATCTGTATTTTCTTATTAGTGTAATGTCTATTACTTCTAATGTCCATCTCTGGCTTGCTGGATAAGAAAAACATCATTAGAAGCTATTTTATGTAGGTCCCTTGGAGTGGGGTAGCAATTGCCTCATAAAGGCAATCACATTCTTTATCCTGTAATCTTGGTAGTCTACTTCTGAGATCACCTGTTCAAGTGCTTTGGAGAATTCCAGCTAAGTAACTAGTGTTTCTAGTGTGTACCCCTCCTCATTCTTTAAGAATTGGTTTTTCCTCTTACAGTAATGTGAAATGCAGTATTTCCCTATTGCAATACCAGTATGTAAATAATGATAATAACACACTACAACGTTTGGGATGAAAATCCAGTATAAACTGCTTAGTTTCCATCACATTTTCAGAAAATGGAATCAAAGATACGTGGTTAATAATTTTTGGAGAAGTGTCTCTAAAAGTGATGTGTTTTAAAGCTGTTGAACTATTTTTTGCCTTCTCTTAGAACTTGAATGTTCTCTCTCAGGGAACTGAAAATTTCTTATAAAAACGTGATTAGAAACTGAAAGTACAGGCCAAAACTTGAGAGTTTATCTATAACTACAATCACTGATCTGGAAGTTTAGTTCTAACAATTGTTGTAGAATTTTGTCCCTTATTTTGTTAGAAGTTTGTATTTTGATTCTGTTAATGTATAGTAGTTACTAACTTCTTGTGACATTATTTTTTAAGTTTTGACATGAAAGTCTTTTTTTCCCATTGGCAGAGATTTGAGCCTGTAAAGGCAAGTGACTTAATAGTCAGTCCCCCACCAAAAAGGTGTGTTAAGTTTGTCTGAATCCTCTGGAATAACGGGTTTAGAAATTAGTGAAAAATCACTTTTTAAGGGCCTATCACAAGTAATATTTGTTTTTCTGTGCCTGAATTATCCTGTCTTTCATGTGCTTGTCATAAAAAGTCATTGGATGCCAGTAGATTAAACTACTTGGACAACTACTTCTCTATTTATTTGACATTAACTCACTTGGCAAAGCTGTTGTTAAGAATATCATAATTTAATGGTTGATTAATTGCTTTAAGTATTACTCTGTCCCAAAACTAGTGCATTATGTTCAGGTGCATTCAGTTTGAAGAAAATTAGCTTGTATTGTGAGACTCAGGGATGTTTCCATCACAAACATTTGAAATGCCACTAGGGCTTGAGATAAAGCCACAAAGAACATTGTAGCTTGGACATAGTCTCAGGAAAGGGATTTCTGGTTTGGTCACTTGTTTTTGCAATGGGAAAGCATGAAGCCTTTAAATGAAGGACTTTGTTTCTTGTGAACCTTTTTGAAGATTACTAGTCTAAATTTTACTAATTGGTTTTCTTTGTATGCAACCTTCAAGTTATATCTGATAAACCTGACATTTATTGTGTTTATTGTGTTGTGTTATTGTGTTTATTGCATTTAAAGTAATCCCATCTTTACCCTAGCACCAAACAATTAAGAGTTTTACAGTCATTGGAGTGCACATCCATGGAGAGTATCACTTTTTTGCCTTCTTGAAATTTGTTTAATACAATACCCCTTTCTGCATTTTCTGATTTGTTAGTATTTCATAATATTGGAATGACTAGTAAGAAATGTGTTGTTTATATACTTATTTATCTAATGAGATTTCCCTAATGAGGTATGAAATCTCTGAACCCTGTTGTTCACTGGTGTCGTAGAACCAAGACTTGTCTTCTGTATACGAGTAACAGCTTTAGCCTGGCATAGTTAACATGCATGCGACTTCCATGGCATCTTATCTGCGTGAATTTCTATCTAAAGTTTTTTGAATCATAGAATGATAGAATGGCCTAGGCTGGAAAGGACCTTAGAGATCATCTAATCCAACCTCCCTGTCATGGGAATCAGCAACATGTCTCCATAAATAAGAGAACATAAGCTTGTGTTTAAATTCTTTGTTTTAACACAGGATTAATTCCCAGTTTTGAGCTCATATGTAGCCCAACAGACCAATCAGTTTAATTTAGGTGAGGTATGTGAATGACTAGATTGAAGTCCAGAATTCTGGTTTCTAGCCATCGGTTGCAAATGTGCTTTGTGAAGTTTTAGCTTCCAATATTTTTTAAAGAAAATTAAAATCTGTGATCAATTTGAAAGTGAGAAAATATTGACCTGGCCCAAGTATGAACTTGAAATTAAAAGCTGTTCTCTGGAACAAAAATCATAGTACATTGAGTGGTTAGATAAGTACCTGTGCTTTCCAGACAGTAGAAAAGGCAACAGGAACTGAATTTAACTAGAAAAAATATGAAATATTATTGTAAAAGCCCAGTCACAAATAGGGTAATAGGAGGTGCAGTCAAAATAAAACCCCTCTCATTGAATTTTTTTAGCTATCCAGATGCTTGAAAATACTTTGTTCTTCATTCCAGCCCATCTGTTATTCCTTATTATAACTGACATCACCACAGCTACCACAACTGTTAAAGAATCACCATATAAAAATGGCAAAACTTACATATAAAGCCAGCAAAACTTAGCACATATTACACAGTTTTATGGAAAGAAAACTGCAGGAATCAAACTTCATAGTTGAAAGATTTTTCCTTTTTCTGCATAGTAGTACTGTAATAGAAGCAATGCCAGTTATGACACACAGTATGAACTGTTCAGTTATATACATGTGTGTATATATATAAATTTTTATTTGAGTGTTCTGTAAGAATGTTGCCTGATCTGAGAAGTTAGATGGAGAGAATTCTAGAATCTTTCTACTTAATTGCGTTTCAAAGAAATGTCCTAAAGAAATAAAAAGATTGCATTTGTTTTTATCTCTAAATTGCCATGAGATTATTGAGAGATGGCAGTACAAAATATTACCCATTTTAAAGGTCTTCTGAAGAGATAATTTGAATATGTGTAGCTTAGCCACAAAATATGAATGTGATTATATTTCTTTTACCTTAAGAGGATACTGATCCTGAAAAAACCATAGATGTGCCAAATACCATGTCCAGCATATTCTGTGATTCATGACTGGG